TTCTGACTGTCAACGACCACATTTCGTCTAGGCTAATGGAGTAGATTTAAGCCCTTCGTTGCCATTATCCCACTTTCAACTAATGCTTTCACTTAAAACGCTTATTTGAAATGCATTTTGAAGAAAATAGGCTTGAGATTTACGCATTACTAAGTAAGTTAAATGGAGAAAGTTTTATATGTTTTTTTCCCATTATTCTGGGAATTTCAAAGATTGGCATTAACGCAGATGCTATCTCACGCCAATCCTCTGGGGACTTTCATAGAGATAATTCAATAAATATCTCGAATATGAGCTGTCTTGAAATGTCCTTCCAGGTTTTTGCTCAAACCCTTTTAAAATAGTGCTTAAAGGTGAACCGAAAAGATCGTTCACACAAAGTTAGGACTATTGTAAACCAGTCTAGACGTCAGAGAGTTTTGAAGTTAATCGAGGTATCCTGGCTAAAATGGTCATTTATATCGATTTTTATTCCTAGCGGTGGAATTTATTCAAAAGCATCGATGTTCAAGACTACCAGCATAGTACAAGTATTTATAGAAAAGAAAACGACTTCTAGTGTCAAATTTTAGCTCGTTTGAAGTCTAGTAAAAGACTAGGGTGGTTGAGTCGTAAAATACCAGAATTATTGTTATTATTTCAAACGGAAGGCTTTATGATATTTATCATTAGCCCCTTAGTTGACTTCAGCTTCCCCCACGGGGGAGACATAAATAGCAGTTAATCAATAGCAGTTCATTAGTTGTCTTCTGGCTTCCCGGTTGTCTTTAGAGCTGGACACCGAATCAGGTGGGTCTTCTCCATTTCCTCCTGTAGTTCACATAGGGGGGGCATGTTGGTTGAGTGTATACTTAATTTGAATACTAGAAGTACCTAACCTCGTAGACAAAATTTTTTACCAAAATTTGAGCAGTTTTCATACCTGCTGTAGCTATGTGTCCCTATGCTCAATTTCCTTGATTGATAATTCTGTAACCATGATGTTGAAGGCCATAACATGTTCTAAAATTGCCCCTGATCGAAATGCGTTTTCCTTAACACAAAATCTTGAAAAATAGATATCCTTCTCAACGTCTTCTTGGCCATTGCCGTGGATAATTTAGCTGATACTGGTCAAAGTAAGGAGAAGCAGAAATCAGAGGCAACTAGTGAAGATGGTGACGATAATACCACAGGAAGGATTCCTTCAAAATCTCTGGATGGAGATACTTTCGGCGAAAAAGATGACCTGGACAAAACGTAAGTCAAAATTGTACGCGCTATCTCATGAGATAATATCTATCAGTGCAACTGTTTGCTAGGTTTAACTTTATTTCACAAATATAAATCTAATTTATATATTTTTAATTACATGGGAATTCTAAATTGCCGTATTTTTACTCCACTTTAGTGGCGATGGTCTCCTTAACCCAAGTGAGTATTCATTTTAATTTTTTTTTCATATTTGTACTTTTTTCCTCTCAACTTATTTTGAAAAGTTACAAATTTATATAACCGCGCAGTTAACGAGAACTTCGGCAAAAAAATTTAAAAACTGCAAATTGTAGTAGAATGCGTTCTCATGGTAAGGTGAACTGGTTCCTGGAGGGCTTATTTAATCAAGTTTTTAAAAATGTGGTCTTTTTTAAAATCTGGGCTAAAATATGGAGATTATAAAATTAAATTATTATTATTAAGAAATAAACATAGGAAAGTGAATGTTCGTTTGATTACTCATTGATTGAGCTTAAATTGTATATTATACTCAGAGGATATTTGGCTATACTCTAACTAATTTCTGGTGATAAGATTAATGGCAAAAAACTGCGCACAACTGACTATCTATACCACTTCTTAGAATTAAATAAACTTCTTTTAATTGGATAAGCTAAAGGTTTTAGAAAAAATAACTATGAACTGTTACTGGTTTTCTTTTAAAATGCGAAAGTTATTGACATTCTTTATCCACCGTCAACTATTTTCCCTTTTTGGTTTTAAATTTGTCCTAATTTTTTTGACCTTGTTCTACTTATGACTCACTCTTCCACTATTTCCGAATCTGTTCTAGCTATCTACTTCCAGTTTTTTTGCTTTGCTCTCGTACGCATCCTCTTCTAATGTAATTATTCACCTCACATCTCTATCGTTCTATATGCATATATATTGTACGAGAATATGCTTATCCTAATTGTGCACCAATGGTAGTGTGAGCAGTAAGTGAGATTTAATGGTGTAGCGTGCAAGCACTGGTAAAAATGTGCTAAAGCTAAAGAAATTCGGACCAATTTGAATCAGACCTAGACAATAGCCCATTTATACTCTGTATAAATGACCTCAGAGACGGTATATGAAAACCCTTTTACATATTGGGATCTTTAAATGCCGATTTGATTATTGATTACAATAATTGAGAGGTTTGTGAACACTGATTAGATGTACAATTTTAGTATTTCTAACAAAAAACAGGTAATTAATTTCAGAAAAATTGGAATTCTCCACAAGAAGAATTGATATTATTTATCTATTTATTTATTTCGAAGATGCTGATGTCGAACAGTATGGGAGCGGCGAAGACTCTGAGAAGATGGAATCTGGTTCCGAATTTTCCGATGAGCATCATGGATCCGCTGAAAATCTACAGCCAAAGATTAAACCCATTCCTGAAGCTTCTTCCTTCTTTATTTTCGGACCCAGGAATCCGTGAGTTCCTTTGATTAACTTGACGAAGAGAGTGGTCTCCCTATAATCTATGCTCCGTATTACATATTTTGAAATCGTATTTATTTTGCAGATTTCGAGTGTTCTGCTATTACATTTGCAACCACCCCTATTTCAACAACATCGTGCTCGTTTGCATTCTGGTGAGCAGTGCCATGTTAGCAGCGGAAGATCCTTTGAAAGCCAACTCTTACCGAAATCATGTGAGTGAATATCTTATTAATAAGGATTAAGTGGCAATTTTTTGTATAGATTATACAGTCAAGAGTGTGAATACATAACTCTTTGTTCCTAAATAGGACTCGTTGTGGCTGATATATAATTCACGAATATTGAAATTTTTCTTGGCTCAGAACTTGGGTTAGAGTATGTTAGCATTTCGAGAATTCTACAAAGGTTTCCTTCAACCGTCTTTGAACTGGTTTATGAAAAAACTATGATTGAAAATGACATTCTGATGGGTGATGCTTTGACCAACTTTATTTTTTCGAAGGCTAGTGCCATTAGCACCAGTGGTGCGAACATTTATTTCAAATGGCAGGCGTTTTGATAGCTATCATTAATTATTTCAAATGGCAGGCGTTTTGATAGCTATCATTAGTCCTCTAGCTGACTTCGGGCTTCACATGGGGAAGGAACGCCAAAGTAACAGAAAGTCGAGGTGTGGAGAACAGAAGAGTGATTAACAGATCTAAAAGAGACAGACACAAAGGCAGAGAAAAGGTAGGAT